TTAAAAATTCCATTGAACATTTATGTAGAATTGAACGTGATTAAGGACAATATCAAAGTGATCTAATTATTTTATTTGTTTTAAATGAATTTTCATATTTGTGAAACAATTAAAAACAGTTTTAATGTCTTTGATCGATCCATATCCAGTAATGAGTGAAACCAATTCAATCACTTCATGATCTCAATCACAAGCCAATTCAATTTAGAATGCACCTTTCAAACGTGATCATCATATTGATTACTTATTTTCATGAAAAATAATACAGGTGTACGGTGGCGCAGTTGAAGTTAGACATTAACACCGTTGGATGCCGACCGGCTCAGTGGTCTGGTGGTTAAGTGCTCGCGCGAAGCCAGTAGGTCCTGGGTTCGAATCCCGCGTGGTGCGGGATCGTGGATGCGCACTGCTGAGGAGTCCCATACTGGGACGAAACGGCGGTCCAGTGCTTCCAGGTTTTCCATCGTGGTCTAGCTTCAATCGACTCATTATTTCAACCTGTGAAATTTCTAATACAGTTTTCTTTAGAAAAGTTTTCTAAAGAGAACTCCTTTAAATAGGCGTTATTCTTTATTTGATTTAGTCATCTGGATGGTCTTTTTGTGGCTCCGGGATCTGAATTCAATTAGATCATAATGTTGGTCGCTATTGAATGATTGCTGTTGAAATATACAGCCTGACTATTCTCGTGAATAGTTATCGAATTAATCCGCGTTGGTGAATAACGGAATTAAATAAGTCAAATACGAGAACATGTATATTTTGTAAAATCATTGATTTGAACAGACAATCAGAGGGACGAAACGAATAGAAGAGAGCTAAGTGAAATGTCACGCAGTGGAGAAGGCATGTGAGCCAACTTCATTTAATCAAGCGTTGATCAATATTTATAGCCAGATAAAAATAAGTTACAGACATATAACGAATAGGATAAGAAGTGTACACACATATATGCCCATATAAAAACAGTCAAGGTCGATAAGTGAATAATTAACAAGGTTAAAACGTGACTCAAGAAGAACGGATAAATTGGTCTAACCAAAAGCTAGAATAAGCTATGTGGGCTTAACATAGTAACTGACACTACAGTCTGTTGGTTCATATCCAGCAGTAAAATAATTCAACTTGATGAGGAATTATTTTGATGATTTCAGTGGTTGAAATCATGAGTCTATTGAAGCTAGACTACCACCATGAGAAACCTGGAAGCACTAGATGGCCGTTTCATCCTAGTATAGGACTACTCAGCAGTGCGCATCCATTATCCCGCCCACCTGAGCCGGCATCCAACAGTGTTAATGTCTAACTTCAATTAATTCACAAAATTCAGCGACACATCCACCATTGTCTTCAGTGAGTTCCTATCTCACAACAGACCTGGTTGAACTCCACTGACCACTGTTTCTCACTAAAACTCTAGGAAATAGCTTTTGAAGCCAGTCACTAGTGAGCATATGTTGATCAATATCAGAAGGGGTTTTGTGAATATTATGGTAATTTCAATGATTGAGATCATGAGTCCCACAATACGACGAAACGGCCATTCAGTGCTTCCAGGTTTTCCATGGTGGTCTAGCTTCAGCTGACTCATGATTTCAACTATTGAACTTACCATAATATCCACAAAACCCTACTGATATGAATAATTTTGATAGTCTAAAAATTACGAATATTAACAAAGTGAAGATTCTCATTCAAATATTCAAGTAAAATGACTTTGTACACTGACTCTTTTTACCATTATTATTGACATACAACACTACAGATTGGGAAATAACAGAAGTTCTTTACAAAATATTTCTAAAATACATTGATTAATTGTTGCGTAATTATTATTAAATGGATATGTTATCGAAATAGTTTACTAATTCTTTGATTAGATATGATATAATTACATAACCATTGGTCTATATGTCTTTAATCTGCTATAAATGTTTAATTTGATCGTTATAATTACCTTATTCAACCCTTTTCTAATAGAGATAAATAAAAGTTTTATAAATCATTTCATCATTCAAACAATTTTCTTTTCTTTCTCCAAAATGGTTAACTATTAAAAAGTTATGAACATTACTGGTTCATTTTTTTTCCATGATCGATAAAGCAAGCTTTATTCCCAAACATTGGATGGAAACTCATCTTTTCTATCAGTATGGGGTTGTGGGGATAATTAGGATTTTGATTGAGATCATAAACCGACTAATGTTAGACCACCATTGTAAACCTGGAAGCACTGGACGGACGTTTCGTCCTATTGTGGGACTCCTCAGCAGTGCGATCCACGAGTCCGCGAACGGGACCGATCCATGATCTCAATCATCATCTTTTGTAGCTTATATCACGGATAGACCTCAGACAACACTGTCGCTAGGCATTAAATATAAATTATTAAATAGTCAGTCAGTTACAACATAGGACCAGGCACATACATGCATCGGTCCAAGTTGCCACACCACATTAACACAGCAAGACAAACACCGGATTCATAGCAGTTAAATCAATTGTAAACTGCACATCTTAGCCAAACCACTAAAAAAACTAGAATATTTGATATTGACAGACGATTGTTTTTCAAGTACACTTACACGCTCGCAGAAGTAGTTAGAGAAATTATGTTACATTTAGCTGTATTTATATATACACCTAATCTCTAATTCATGTAGTCAATCTACAAAAAAATAACCCTTTACCACACTCTTACTCTCTGTCGGAACTAATAAAACCAGATCTATAGAGTTTTACCACTTAAAATATGAACGATTGCAATCGGTCAGCAACCGAGACTGGTTATCAATCGCTGACCAGTCAATATAGTTTGACAAAATATTGCAGAAACTAAGTTAGGTAGTAAACTTGAACAGAGGATAGTATTGGAGAATTTCTTTCTAATAATCTGTTGTAGTTTAACTTCAACTTGACTGGGAAGGCATATACAATGGGAAATTTCCATGCATAACGAATCCTTAGCCATCACCAAATGAATAGTGAAAAATGATACGAAAAACGTGAGCTACTGATTTAAAATGTCAGTAGATGAATGGTTTCTAGACAAATATTCATGTTCACTAAACAAGATCCAGTGTTTCCGCAGACAATTATTTGTGCGAAAATGGATACCCTCAATCAATTATAGAGAAATGTAGCGCCTAACACCACAGTAAAACGAAATAATACAAACCCGAAGACATCCATGGAGAAAAAAATCCCGAAGACAAGAAAGTTTCTGTCCGACCGTCATTCGAAGGTGACCAAGTAATCGGGAAAATCCATAAAATACTAAAAGCAGTTTTGAGAAACACATTCTCTGCTGAGTAGATCTCACTCTACACAATCCTGTGCTTAATAACACAAACAAAATCAGATGAATATCCGTCATATGTTACCTGCAACTGCGTACTAGTTTAAACGAAACATGAAGGACAGAAAAACGGTTTTTTCATTTTAGTGAGCGTACTTAAAAAAATGATTCCGAGAAAACTGTTTACAAAGTTCAGTAGCACACCGCCTACTAGTTTACCAGGTATAACGTTATTCAAATGAATTCGTTCAAGGTTATCAGTAGACAGCCCAACTCTACGTTACTAAAACTAAACTAAATCGTTCGCAATGGCGCAGGTGCATCCACTCTCTGTGTTCTCCCAAACTCTAATCTTCTGAATTCTTCATGTCCCTTTTTCCCTCTTTCCAAATTTCTTTCACTGGATTATACTCTTTAAATAACATCTCCAGACCCTAATCTTCCCGATTACTGCTTATACTCTTGCTACCTCTACCACTACGGGATTTGAATCGACCACTGCATCTCTGTGCTAATGTGGTGTGGCAACTCGAACTGATGTACGTACGTACAAAGTTCTACGTTGTTACTGACTGACTGAACAGTTTAAGGGCTTATACCTGACTTTTGTGTCCGAAATGTTAGTAGTTAGCCTTCCGTTGTTTTGATGACATTTAGACCTCGCTTTGCTTCAATTAATGGTAATCACAATCTATTAAGTTAAACTCATAAGCTTGTTTTTCCAAAAATCTCATCACATTGCGTAATAAAACCATCTTAATATTCTAGAACTATCACTTCAAGCATTTATAAAAAGAATACCCATTCAAAACTTTAGTTCTTAACCATTTACACATTTCATACAATTTGCTCGTTACTTCATATCAGAAGGGTTTTTGTGAATATTATAGTAATTTAAATGGTTGAGATCATGAGTCAATTGAAGCTAGACTACCATGGAAAACCTGGAAGCACTTGACGGCCGTTTCGTCCTAGTATGGTACTCCTCAGTAGTGAGCATCCACGATTCCGCCTTGCGAGATTCAGACCCAGGATCTATTAGTCTCACGTGCGAGCGCCTACCAATAAGACCACTGAGCTGGTATCCAACGGTGTTGTTGTCTAACTTCAACTAATCCACATAATTGAGCGACACGTCCACCATTGTCTTCAGTGAGTTACCATCTTAAAACAGACCCAGTTGAACTCCATAGGTCACTGCTTCTCATTAGAACTCCAGGAAATACCTCGAGGAGCCAGATTTCAATGGTCTAGTTTCAATTGACTAATGGTCTCAAAAATTGAAATTATCCGTTACTGATTGACAATTCATCTTTTAACATTATGCTTACTTTATTTATTCGGAATACTTTATGACAGTTGTTTTTACTGAACATTTTACAGTTAACAGTATATCACAAATTATAGTTTAAGGCATAAATTAGCATGTCCTGAGATCGATAGCAGTTGAATTCAGTAATTATCTTCTTTTAAAAAATCAATAAGCTTAGTGTTATTCTATACTTCCATTCTATGATATCACTTGGATATTGTTATTATTTACCTTCATCTACCTTTCATTTTGTTAATTTTCTCACTTGTGCTCATTTGATGTGTAGCAGCTCGAGCTGATACACATTCATGTTAGATCCTACATTGTCTATGACCAATTTCAAACTTATATTACGAAGCCATTTATGAACAAAACAAAAAAGCCAACGTTGAAAATCATAGTCATTGCAAGCATCTATATACATGATCAATTATGTGAACAAGATAAAATTCATCGAAAATTGCTAAGCAATCCATAAAAAAGAAGAAGATTAAGACTTAATTAGAGAAAAAAAAGTCGAGTTTATCATTATATGTAGAATAATATTTATTGTATAATCCCTCGACTTTTAACTCGTAACTCTACGATTTTTCATCGTGTTGATTTGATTGTTGGATTGTCGATGAAATCGGTTTTACAAATGAATCAATATTTGAAGGAATAAATCCTCGTTGACTAAAACCTCCACCAACATTAATTCCACTACCACCCAAAGGTTTACTATTTTGTATTCTATCAAATGATAATAAACTACCGAATAGAAAATGTTGAACGACTGGAAATTTTTCTAAAACCTAAAAAATATTTTTAAAAAAAGAAGAGAATCAAGTTGAGAAATTGATCGCTATGGGAAAATATGATTAAACTAAACAAAAGTTAGATATTAGAAACTACGGATTGAATAGAGATAGTATTTAATAAGCCTACTATAATCTGAATACGATTATTAATTAATTACTGTTAAGTAATTGGAGACAAAAAGAAGTCCCAACTATTAGTTTACTCATACCAAAGTAAATAAAGTGGCCTTCGAACGTGACTACCTATTCTGATTAGCACTTAACAATGCATTGTTAACTGGGTCAAAGAAAATAATGATAAGAATGTACTCACTTCTCTCGAAGTACATTCACAGGAATCACAGAGGATTCTAGCAAGATAATTTGATCATTGATTTGAGTGCATCTCAATGTGTGGAACTATCACCTTAAAGCCAAAGGTTATATATATATATATATATGCAACTATTGGAACGTAGCTTTTTTAGTTGATCAGAATGTTCTTTAAGTCTGGCTAGGCAGTATTGAGAAGAAAAGGACAGACCACGTTTATCGTTCACAGTAATCAACATTTCAAAAATATTGACGTTTATGCAACAAGTTATGTTGAATCCTGTATACCAACCGATAAAATCTATGTTTGCTTTAACATATAACTAATGTATGAATAAAAGGCGTTGATTACAATTCAAACAGTATAAATCAACTAAAATGAGGAGCTGAGCATAAAAGTAACTTACTTCACCTTTATACATTTTAATTAAACCAGAATTGACTTTTTCCCATTTCGGTACTTCACTAATTCCATACAACGTATGTGAATGCTCTTCAAATGGACCAGTTTTACACTAGTAGTAAATTAAGGGAAATTTAACAATTTAATATTTGAGAATTTTTATAGTTTTCAAAAATTGGATTTTACATAAAAGTGTATTCCATGATGAAGTTTTCAGTCAGCCAGTTAGTGACAACGTAGAACTTCGTACGTACATACATCAGTTCGAGTTGCCATACCACATTAGCACAGAGATGTAGTTGTCGATTCAAATCTCGTAGTGGTAGAGGTGGTAAGAGTATAAGCAGTAATCGGAAAGATTAGTGTTTGACGGTGTTATTCAAGGAGTATCATACAGTGAAATAAATTTGGAAAGTGGAAAAAAGAAACATGAAGAATTCAGAAGATTAGAATTTATTCATTAATATTTATTTGAACACGTAAATATTGGTACAAGAGGGCACCAAATATATATGCGTCACACAAAACAATGAAAATGGGAAGAAAAAAAGGTACGGGGCGTAAAAGAAAAAAAGAGAAACAATAACGACCAGATTGGTGTAAGGCAGTGTAATAATAATAATAATGGGGGGAACGGAAAGGTACAATCGGAAGAATCCTTTCAGTTTAGGAAGATACAACCACTTTTTATGAAGAAAGTAAGAGAAGGTTACAGCAGGGTCGCCACTGACTTCTATTCTGAGCCATAATCTGATGACACCAATTGGCTTATCGTCTCTGCACCCGAACACACGATGCCGAACCTCTGCACTACTGACATGGTGTTGCCACTGGATGTCAGCAATCCTTCAGAGACAACGATGATCAAACACAGAGAGTCGTCTAACGTCCTCAACTCGGAGAAGCCAGGTGTCACAAGCATAGAGCAGAACTGCTCTCACCGACGCGTTATAGATCCAAATTTTTACAGCCAGAATAACACCACGAAGGCGCCAAAGATGGCCCAGATTGGCATAAGCCGCAGGTGATTTTCTTAGGGGGCCACACCCCGAGCCTTTGACCTAAAAGTCTAACCCACAAGGCAGTGGAGCATCGTGAGGAGATGCAGTCCTAAGGTAGCCGGTGACCAACGATTGGTTCATACACCATTTGTTTCCTGATGATCTTGGAACCAATGTGCACGACTGGTTTGGAATCAGGGTTTTCCAACTCCCCTAGGTGGACTCTCCATGTCCATCAACCCGGTTAAAGCGCCGGACATTCGCTTTTCGTCCTCTCAATTTCGTAAACATCACCCCTGCAACGTGAAGGCAGTGAGTAGGAATTTCCTGACACAGGCTGTATACGCGTGGCCATGTGAGAGCATTTTGAGAAGGAGAGCGGACTCTTCCCACTCTCGGCCATACCAGGGCATTTGGGGGCACAAATAGTGGATGCACCTGCGCCATTGCAAACGATTTTGAGACATGTCATTCAGGGTCTCTGACCATCGGTTGCTATCATCTCGCGGTCCCCAACCAGGTAGTCTACACCTACCAACATGTTTTCAGTGAACAAAATAGAGTCCTTTTAACGATGAATGAATTTACATTCTCTTTTGATGCCACATTATAAATAACAACTGCTAGAGTAAGTCACCATAAGCTGTACCTACCACTAACAAATATATTTGAAAGTACACTTCAATGTGTAACAATTTAATAAAATATGAGCAAACATAAATCAAAATATTTTACGTAAATGTACAAAATTACGTATTAAACAAAATTGCTACACCCCACAACTGACGCATTACTGTGTAGTAAACAAGGTTACATCAATCTAATCTTTTACCGCTGAGCAGATTCTATCAACTAAATTGCAATGAAGCCACCAATTTAAGTGACCCAACGTCGTGTGCATTATGTTGAGATGTTAGTTGGTTGGAGATAGTCGGAAGGAAACTCTGGACTCAAGTTTTGTGTTAGCTGACACTCTTCAACCTCAATAGCTCAGTGTTAAAGTATCAGACTGCGAATCTGGATTATGTGGGTTTGAATACCACACAGCATTAATTTCCTCAATCACCACCGACTGCCCGGACGTGCGATGTTCAACGGTATAGGAGTAGGTTGGAAGAAAGGTAGGGGCGTCCAGACCAAAACATGGCAAAAATCCATGAAGTCACTGACAAGTGGACTGAGTCATATTGGTAGGTGTAGACTAACTGGTTGGGGACCGCGAGATGATAGCAACCGATGGTCAGACACCCTGAATGATATGACTCAAAATCGTTTGCGATGGCGCAGGTGCATACACTCTTTGTGTTCCTCCAAATTCTAATCTTCTGAATTCTTCATATCCCTTCTTTTTTTCTCTTTCTAAATTTATTTCACTGTATTGTACTCCTTAAATAACATCTTCAAACACTAATTTTTCTGATTACTGCTTATACTCTTATTACCTCTACCACTACGGGATTTGAATCGACCACTGCATCTCTGTGATAATATGGTATGGCAACTCGAACTGATGTACGTACGTACGAAGTTCTATGTTGTCACTAACTGACTGACTGAATTTCCTCAAGATTACTGGTACACTATGTTGATAAGTATCAGCTAGAATAAAACCTAGTTCCAAGGTTTCCCGTCAACTACTTTCTATCACTTAAAATGTCACACTTAAAATCTGCAAAAATAAATGTAGATGATTGGAAAAAGAAACTTAAAAGGAATAGATAAGTGTTATAACGCTCGGTTCTCCACGTTTACACGTATGGGATGTTAATTTACCTTAAACGAATATCTACACTAGATTCTCTCCTAGTGTTTATTCTATAGGACTTTAACACAACTCAGATCAAGAACACGTGATTAGCCTGATTAGAACGTAAATATATTTCCACACCAAAACCGATAACAATCAGACACAATCCAACAACAATTAACAGTCGGTCAATAATAATAAGGACTGGAGAGCATATAACTCATCTAACGCCTGTCAGATTATGTACAAGTCTGACTAAACAAACAACCAATCATTATAATTCTAACTCACACATCAATAAGAAAACATAACTCAGAGTCTTATATTCAGCACTGGAGTTATTACAAAAAATGAACGCAACTGTGTACCAGTATGATTGGAATTGAATCGTATTACAACACAGTGTCACATGATATTTTACGATGATGTTATGAATGAAAGCTGAAAATTATGCACCTCCACAGCTGAGATCGCGAGTCGATCTAGGCTAGACCACTATTGAAAACCTGGAAGCACTGGACAGACGTTCAGTTATAGTATGAGACCCCTCAGTAGTGCGCTTCCATGATCCTGCACACGGGACTTCAACACAGGAGCCTCGGTCTCGCGCGCGAACACCTTACCTCAAAACCACTGAGCCGGCATTCAACGGTGTTAATACCTGACTTCGATCGATCCATGAACTTTTGCAACTCTTCGTTCATTGTCTGAGGTGAGTAACTGTCAAAAAGTTTCACATCAACAAGCCATGACTTCAAAATTGATGCCTTTCTATAAAATGTCTGACTTTACCCTATGAACGATTACTCGGAACTTGAATGTGACGCTTAAAAGCCATGCTTTACATCCAAAATAGACGGGGAGTATTAAACCACTGGCCAACTAACATTACGTTAAAGTTGAACCATAAAATACAAATTCATAATAAGGTATAAGCTATCCGTTGTGTTCTTAATTTCGCGCTAAATCCCAAGAGCAGTTATCTTAGATCTGATTTGCGTGTCAACAAAACACTCCTTTTATTACATTTTCTTGAGGGATATGAAATAAACTAGAAAAATGAAGGTTATGTATAAAAGAGTGGTCCAATGGACATCTGTCTAAGGCATGGCCATGTGGTGGAGAAGATTTGTATCTCAGATAGATTATTTTGATGGAGTTTTTGTTCTCTGAGCTGGATGGTTTGGTCGTGGAGCTTTCATCGTTCTTCTGAACGACATCATCAGCACAAAGTTCGAATAGAAGTGAAGTGTTCGAATTTCTTCACATGTGGTTCACAGCTTGTCCTGTACACCTCAATAATGATTGGTTCTTGTTGACCTTAAACCTGTCATTGTTAACTTCTTTGTTTTAGTTGTATCTCCCATCTACAAAAAAAATCGTGCCCACTGCGAAAAACACTAAGTCGGACAAAGCGGACGTCCTCTTCATCTTCGCCTGCATGAACATCAATTAGCAGTCAAATGCCATGATATGTCCTCACTTATATCAATGCACGTGGACAACGGCGGACACATTCGAATGTGGAAATTTTGTATAGAGGCAGCTCCAAAAACACCAGACGATTTTTAGAAGCTTGACACTTAGGTCAATCAACAAGCACACTGAAATCGATCAAATTTATCAACCAATCAGAAACAAAAATCAAACCAATGGGGGATACAACCAAAATAAAGAAGTAAACAATGACAGGTTTAAGGTCAACAAGAACCAATCAACATTGAGGTGTACAGGACAAGCTGTGAACCACATGTGAAGAAATTCGAACACTTCACTTCTACCCGAACTTTGTGCTGATGATGTCGTTCAGAAGAGCGATGAAAGCTCCACGACCAAACCATCCAGCTCAGAGAACAAAACTCCATCAAAATCATGGCCATGTGTACAAACTTTCATATAAAATTATATCGGTGCACTTTCAATGAAAATCCGTGGGGTAAGGGTCAGGTGTAAGTAATCCAATTAACTACAATGTAGGACCAGGCACATATATGCATCGGTCCAAGTTGTTACACCTCATTAGCATAACAAAATGAACACCAAATTCATAGAAGTAGTTAATTCAATGGTGGTAATATATAAAAGAAAGATTGCATATAAGGATATAGTACAGGAAGAAAGAATTTGTTCGTAGAAAGAAAGATATGAAGTGATTTTAATCTCGTGGTTTAAGGGAAGACAGATAGTGTATACACCTACACTATTGTGATCAATTATGAGTCATGTCACCCAGAGTCTCTATCCATTAGTTACGATAGTCACGCGAACCCCAATCAAGTGGTCTGCATCTACCAACATGGCTAAGACTAGAAGTTAAGGACTTCAAGCACTGATAACAAGTTTTGGCCGCCACTAGCTTCCTCCCAAACGTCTCCAACACTAGTCAGCATGGCGCGTCGTGGTAATCAGTGTTCAGGCATACGTAACACGTGACCCAACCATACCAGTAGATGAAGATTCACAAACTTATCAACTGATCTACCATCATTCCCTAATACCCTACGTCTAGCCTCACTATTACTTACCCGGTGATCCCAGCAGACGAGAGTAATATTTCTGAAACATCTGTGATCAAATACTAGTAACTTACGAGTATCTTCTACCACTAATGACCACGTTTCGCAACCGTAAAGTAGAACATGACGAACTGCCGCGCAGTATACTCGTCCCTTAATTGATTGATAGATATCTCGCCTTCGCCATAGGTGGCATAATTCGGCAAAAGCCAAACGAGCTTTCTCAATCCGTGCGGAGATTTCGTCAGACACCAACCCATTAAGGCTGACCAGACTTACAAGATAAGTGAAGTTGTCGATGGAGGCCAGTCCTGTAGCAGCAATTTGCATTTAGAGGAGAGAGAAGCGCATCGCAAACATTCTGGCATTGTTGCCCAGTGCTACCAAAGGATTCTGCATTTTATCAGCATCTTCACCAAACAGAACTATGTCATCTGTGTATTCTAAGTCGATAAGTGGACCTCCTACTATAGTAGGAGATCAATTCCTGAAAATTCAGTCGACGAGCAAGTTATTTCCATCAGTATGTCTATGATGAAGTTGAAAAAAATTGGAGATAGTGGACAGCCTTGTGAGACACCACTTGATGTTGCAAAAGTAGATGACAGTTCGCCATAAGTTACGACTCGAGTGGTGGTGTTCGACTAAAGAGCCTTCACAAGGTCTACGTACTTCTTAGGTACACCTTTCAATGACAGACACTGCCACAGAACCTCTCGGTCAACAGAGTCAAATGTTGCTTTCAAGTCAAGAAAAACTACCATTGTGGGATGCTGATACGTATGTCTGTGTTTTAAAACCTGACTAATGGTGAATATGTGGTCGATTCAACTACGACCAGGTCTGAAGCTAACCTGATGAGGTGTGCTATTGTTGCAGTTGATCTCTAATCTACCCTTCTATCTGCGAGAAGGCAGTACCAACAGTGAGGATGGTAAGAAATATCTCACTGTCACTACACACTATAAACAGTAGTAAATTTTACCACTGAATTACAAATCTGCTGTTTCTGGTCTTCTTACAGCCTTTTTTCAACGTAGTATGACAAGAAATTAATGAAAATGTGTTCCAGCTAATGTAGCTAGATTGAGTCTTCACGATTAACAAGTTCAAATGTCTTGTTGAGGTAGAAGCTAAGGTTGGGAAGGATGAATTTATTTTTCCACAGGAAAATTTTTCTGTCTTAAACATAGAATATGGGATTTTATACACTGTTTGCTGGTAGCCAAGTGAAATCATAACAAAAATGATCATACAGACCCTTTACAATAAGTAATTAAAACTACTCACATGATGAATATAAGAAATACATGAAAATAAAAGGTATTTATCTTTCTCCAATTCAACAACATCACGATCTGTTATCACGGTAGGATTGTGCTGACTGCCTGAAAGTTTTGAATGAGTTGGGAAAAAAACCAAGTTAAATTTGTGGATGAAATTTCCCTTCATAAATTAGCTACTAAATATTATACAATATACAATATATTACACAAACATCCACACAAAACCAAAGTCTAACTTAAAGGCGACTACATATACATATGCTTGTTAATGGGTTATATGTATTATTTCTCCATCTTTGTATAGTTTAATACTTGTGTTTACCAGAGGAGGTATGCAGACCTAAACAGAGTAATAAAATGTACTTTTAAGAATTTATCGCCTTTCCAAGTGAACAATTGAATACAAATTTTATAGTAGTAAGAATTTACGACCAGATTATTTATACGATACTATGCTTATTAAAAAAATAGCAACCAGTTACCAATCAATTGACTACTGCCCCAAATGAAAGGTACAAATTGAAAATCATCCAAACACCATACACCATGAGAGCCAGCTGGTTCCATACGATATGTTGTTTGTAACAGACGAACTAATACCAGATACTTTGGCATTACAACAAGCCCAACAGATAGGAGATCATTTATAGTTGATGCACCAGAATCAGTTTGTGTTTTTAGAATGTTCAGTTTGAAAAGACAAGTTAAAAACGCTAAGAAAGCCAATTCATGACCAGTCCCGTAATCGATACGTGTTGAATTTCCAAATGATTCAACTAGATAACCAGAAACTTCGTCAACTGCTTCGGTGTATAACACTGAATGAAAATGGTACAATTAAAATGTAAAGGTAATAAATGTTAGTAAATTACATCGTCTAACTTTTTACATAAAAACTAATAATAAAATATTCAAAACAAAGGATAGATTGTACAGAGTTTTTGAGGTTTTAACGTGAAAAAAACCCCTTGAATAAACGTACTCATAGTACAAGTTAAAATAAAAATGAACCCCATGAATGTTGATTAGAGATTCTAACCAAGCGTGGCTTGCATAGATCACATCCCAAAGCCTCTGACTTATAGGTTTAATCCAAAAAAGCAGTGAAGCCACATTAGTAAATGGATTCTTAGGATAATCAGTAGTCATTTATTAATTCTTTTTAATCCTAGATCTCATGTGTACCAGGTTTTTCAACTCCCTTATATAGAAACTTCCACTATCAAATTAAGGTATTAACTGGAGATTCTCTAAAAAGAATTAAAATTATGCGGTGGTATGATAGAATCGGAATGAAAAGCGGACTCTTCTTGAGGTCGACCGAATTAGGGGCTGTAGGGCGGGAGTTATTACTTGAAATAAGACGACATTCAAGCTGCAGTTAAATTAAAATGTACTTTCTAAGTTGCAATATTAGTAACCATCGGGTAGAAACCAGAAATTTAATCTCAACAGTATCAGCTCTGCCAGAAAGTTATGATCTATAATGGAACGTAGAATTCAAAGGCAAAAGATGTGTGACAAAGTAAGCATATTTACTTGAAGAATTTAATTATGCTTAACTTTCATGTATCTGTTGTACAATTATTTAAAGCGAACGGTATAATTTTTCGAGGTGGTCTTTTTTAAACCGTTAAATGGAGCTATTTTTTACGTATCAAAGCCATTTTAGTCATAATTATGCTGTGAAATGCTCGCTCTATTTCAACAGTATGGTTTTTAGTAGTTGGTACATAATTATAATTGCGTCCACTTAACATTGAATTGCATTTGTTAGGTGAAAGCTCAAAATATCATTCGTCTACCCTTGACAGAGCCAGATTTAAGCCTATAATTTAATGGTTGGGATTTATGTGTTTAAGCCATTCAGTGAAAAACGCATATCAACAGAAATAACATTTTGGAACCAGAAACAAATGACCTAAAGTCAAAGAAGTATTATGGATAAATTAACAGGAAAATATTTTTCAACTTGAAACAATTGGTGAGTCGCATGGACGTTCATTCAGTGAACCAATGCAATATAAAACTGAGCCAATATCTAATTAAATATATTTTCTGAGACTGAAGTTAATAAATTCGCATATTGGTATCTTTAATAGCACTGTGAGAAATTAAAACAACTCTGCATGACAAAACTACCACTCTATAAGTGACATCAATGACTTGTTTTGAAAAACTAATCTTTTCATTTGTCGAATATGGTTGAAAGTTATTGTGACTATAAGAATTAGAGCTAGTAATGACTAGTTTACATCTTCCAAACTACATCAGTTTTGAATTAGATATACAGTTTGCTACAATATTGAATTTCTCGAGTGGATAAGGTAGGTTAACGCTTTAATATCCTGTTATGGAATTAATTTCACCGATAATTTCAGTCAGTCAGTTAGTGACAACGTATAACTTCAGTTCTACACCAGACCACAAGGGCTGGTGAAACTTCCTAGATAAGTGAAGCGGTTGACACGCTCAACTACTTCACTGCCTATCATTAGTTCGGATCGGTAATTTACAAAAGAATGAGCATGAAATTTTGTAAACTGCGAAAATGACATAAGTACTGATAAAAGTAAGGCCTTACAAAGGATACCGTCTTTCAAAATATAGTATTAAAAAAGACGAATATGAAAAAAATTAAAAATAAGAAGCGAAATCTCCGGAGAAAAACATAAATTCCTGCAACTTGTTAAATCTATGTATACAATGGAGAAAATGATATACAGACTTAAGCTTAAAATATAGTAATAATGTCAAAAATTAACAAACATAGAAAACAGAAAGTCAGTCCAACTAGAACCAACACCAAACTTTTAAAATAATCATTTTAAGAACAACAAAATTGTCATTTGAAGTGAATACTGAGGAAGATTTTTCAATTTTAACCAGTCAGTAAAAGACAATAAAAGGCCTGGAACGACAATATATCCATTGAATTTTCCAAAACTCACATCAATACCCAAAGAAAGATATTGAAAAAAAATCAATATGTAGAAATACAAAAACAAATAAAGTTAATATTTTAGTTTTACAATGAACTAACTTGGTGGATCAGTGAAATCTGTGGTACCATGATCATGAAAAATAGTTGAACCAATTTCAATGGCATTCTCTTGTAACCATGCAAACCATCGCCTAAATGCTTTATTTCCAAATCTCTGCGGCTGCTCCTCAGGTGGGTAATCTTTAATTGCTTGCTGTAACTTGTCAAGCATTTCACATACCAACATTATGGCCTGAAATAGTTACATTTATAATAGTAACTTCCAAAACACCTTAGAAGATTTCAAATTATCCTGGATTGGACGAGAGACCAATTTACTATTGACACTATTTATTAGGTTAAGAATCTCATTACAAGCGATAGAAGAAGTCCACTGACGTAAATCAGCTGGAGACACAATTCTTTTAGTTAAACCCATCTAGTAAGAAAATAAAAGGAATAAAGCTAAGGTGGTCAAGAACATAATTATATTGTCGATCAGTAAGAAGTTGACCATGCGCATTTTGAATTCTATATAATTACTTCTAACTATAATATGATGCTTTCACAGAGTGCAATAACTACAACAAAGTGGTTATGAAAAACATAACTATCTAACTAGATGTTATCCCGACCGTAGCTGCTACCCTGACGTCGCGATCGAGAATGCCTATCGTGACGACACAACAGAACTATATTGGCTCAGACACATGCTCCTTTAGGTCCCACTACGCCAGGCAAGTCGGTAGGAGAATGGTAAGATTAAAAGCATCAACTTAATGTCCAAGGGAGAAGTTGTATTGCTGACTGTGGAGGGGTGAAACAGTAGCAAGGAGTCTCCCCCGGATAACCGGTACCTGCGGCAATGCTGCCTTGTGATAACAGATGGAAGAAGTTGAAAAAGGATGACCCTAAAATGTCACACCTAACCTTAGCTCACGGATTTCCATATCCGGTAGTAAGGCCTATTGCTATTTGGAGCTAACACATCAAAAACTTCACATAAAATGTCTGAGAGCGACCAGCCTCAAACAGTTGTAATTTGGACTCTGCAGCGACGTTCCCAATTCGTTGGAACAACCACTAATCCAGCTTCTTTTGCAGGTCACTTAAGAGATATTCTTCCATGGTGTGAGCAGCCGAGAAGTCACAACCACCCTTATGCCTCTAACAGTGCCCCAGACCACCTCATTCAGTCAGTCAATAACAACGTAGAACTTCGTACGTACGTACATCAGTTCGAGTTGCCATACCACATTGGCACAGAGATGCAGTTGTCCATTGAAATCCCATAGTGGTAGAGGTAGTAAAAGTATAAGTAGTAATAGGAAAGATTAGGGTTTGAAATATATATATATATATATATATATATATATATATATATACTATATTCTATGAATACACAACATAACCAATGAGTAAGAACAATTCAATTAATTACCTACTTTTTAATTATACTAATTCAGTAACAGTATATATCTGAATAATAGTTGGAAGTTATGTTTTGTGTTGATAGTGTAACTTATCAGTTACCCAAATCAACATAAATGGAGCATGGATTAAACCTGCAGCTCATTACTCGTACTCAACTTCGAAAAACATCACTTCCACTCATATTACTACATCATTTGAGACTATTTCCCATCTTTAGTAGACTATAAATAGAAATGCCGCTTAATATAACCAACTTAAGCATAACGAACATTCTTGGCGGACTTCAATTTTCTGAGCTGGATGTTTTAATCGTGAAGCTTTTATTAATCACCTGGACAACATTATCAACATAAGCTTTAAGTAAAAGTGGGACAATCGAATTTTTCCACATATAACTAAAAGCTTTTCTGCAGACATTGATTAGTTATCATTAACCTTTAAAGTACATTAATCTGCATTATTATATCTTATTTGATATCACATCACAAAAGGACATGATATTTAAATCCTTAAAATGATGGTACATACAGCCTTGAAAATGTATTCAGAATGATCTGTTTACATGATGAATGAGGAAATGCAATCTCAACTTACAGTTCATGAGAACCAAACCAGTGTCAATTAGCTTGAAATTTGGTTACAGTAAATTATTCAGTGTGAACACTATCCATGGTATTTTAACACAATTTAATGGTTTGTGTTGATGACAAAGATTCAGTTCAAACATTTTAATGTTTTATTGATGTAAACTCGAAAAACAAATGTAATTGGATTGACTACACTGGATGAAAATTAAGAAGCTTCATCTACAAAACCGGTGTTTAAACCCTAGTTATTGGGACAAGGGAAATAAGAGGAAAGAATGGTTTCGTTCACAGTCATCACTCATCGTTGGAGGCTCAACAGGAGAATTCTGCTTGTTTTGGAGCACATATTCAGACTCTGATTATGCTTTAATACGAGCACGCATATGTTTGTGTTTCAGTGGATGAAGGAAAACCACATTAAGACCATTCGAGTTAAACTCAGTAGCGAGAAAGCCAAAAGTAGATTCCATGAACAACGGAGGTTACACTTAGGCGATTCTGAAAACGAGGCTGACTCAGATGTTGCTCGGAAAGGTATACAAACAGCAGTGGAAAAATAAGCGCCCTGGTCGTAGCTAAATCGACCACATATTCACCATTAGTCAGGTTTTAAAACACAGACATACGTATCAGCATCCCACAATGGTAGTTTTTCTTGACTTGAAAGCAACATTTGACTCTGTTGACCGAGAGGTTCTGTGGCAGTGTCTGTCATTGAAAGGTGTACCTAAGAAGTACGTAGACCTTGTGAAGGCTCTTTAGTCGAACACCACCACTCGAGTCGTAACTTATGGCGAACTGTCATCTACTTTTGCAACATCAAGTGGTGTCTCACAAGGCTGCCCACTATCTCCAACTTTTTACAACTTCATCATAGACATACTGATGGAAATAACTTGCTCGTCGACTGAATTTTCAGGAATTGATCTCCTACTATAGTAGGAGGTCCACTTATCGACTCAGAATACACAGATGACATAGTTCTGTTTGGTGAAAATGCTGATAAAATGCAGAATCCTTTGGTAGCACTGGGCAATAATGCCAGAATGTTTGCGATGCGCTTCTCTCTCCTCTAAATGCAAATTGCTGCTCCAGGATAATCTAATTGTGTAGGAAACTTAACTAATTCTTAGGGACTCAGGTCAGTGTTTGATTGTAATTTACGAACATTTTGTTTTGTATCGCAAAATACACCTAGGTTCCTACCTGAAGTCACCGGTGACCCACTGCTTCTAGATACGTACCCTCGTTAAGCGAAAGCTTCTTTTTCGTTCAAGGCCGTTATCCGTACCTGACCTTGTGTAGACTTTGTAGCACATCACTCTTCAGTCTTCAGTAATAAGGATAGGAGGTCTGTCGACCTATATTAATCCTTGCAGTTTGTAATACCGTGGAGGTCCGATCTCGTTTTGAATATATCAACAGACGGTGGTGATATTACGTGTTCCGGTAGGGAATTCCAGTAATTCACTACTCAGTGCGAGAAACGGAACTCCAGACGTAAACGGTTTGATCTCGGTTTTTGAACTTTCTTCGAATGTCCTCTCAAATGATCGGTTCTAGACGGAAGCAAGAGATAAGACATGTTAATACCAAGGTCATCGTTTAGTATACGACAAGCCAATATTAGATCACCCCGTACTCTACGGTAAGATAACGGAAATAAGTTAAGGTGTCTCAGTCTGTCTTCATAAGATAGGCCAGCTAGACCTTGTACCATCTTAGTAGCTCGTCGTTGGACTCTTTCTAGCATATCTGCTCCATATTTGAAACAAGGACTCGCTGCTTGAATCCCGTATTCTAAATGTGGTCGCACATAAATCGGGTATAGTAATCCAAACATTTCATCATCTAAATACTGAAAAGACCTACAAATTGACCATAATACCCTATAGCCTTTTGCAGCAGCAGCCTTACAGTGATCATTGCTTAATATAACTCCTAAGTCTTTATAGTTTCTTGCTTTGGGTAGCACGAGTCCACGTAGTGTATAGTCATACGATTCGTCAGAGTTATTTAACTGCATCACTACACTCTTAGTAGGATTTACTTCTAGTGACCACCTGTCTAACCATGCCACCAATGAGCTAAGATCGTCCTGTAATACTATTCTATCCGACATACTATGTATGGGTCTCCAAATCTTTATGTCATCAACGAAGAGTAGAACGGATGATTTTGTTACAGTTGGCAATTCATTTACATAAAGTAAAAAGAGAAGAGGACCTAGGATTGTGCCTTGGGGGACCCCACTTTTTACAGGTACCCACGAGGAGAGAGCCCCATTAACCCTTACCCTTTGTCTCCTGTCATGGAGAAAGTTACTTATCCAATCGACGACTGTGTTATGGATTCCAAAACGTTTCAGTTTGAATTTAAGACCAGAGTGTGAAACCTTATCAAAGGCTTTACTTAGATCTATGAAAATTACATCCACAGGAGCATTTCGATCCTTTGCCGCAGCCCACACTTCTCGTGCAATGAGAAGATTTGTCAAGCAAGATAGGCTTTTCCGAAAACCATGTTGTGCCCTGGAGAAAAGATTTTGCCCTTCACCATAGTTTATAACAGCTATCCGAATGATTTTCTCCATCAGTTTCACAACTGCACTAGTTAAGCTAACGGGTCTATAGTTACTAACTAAATCCCTACTCCCAGCCTTATACACTGGACTTATTATGGCGTCTTTCCAGTCTCTAGGAAGTCTGGACTGTCTCAGAGACATGTCGAATAGTATCGCTAATGGTTCAGCAATTTCATCTGATATGGCTTTCATAATCCTTTCATAATCAACTTCTTCATTGGTCAGTATTTTTGCGGAACCATGTCTTTCTGAGCATTTTCTCTTCATTCGTTCTTTTTCATCCGGCAAGTTGGTACACTCTACAGTGGCATCTTTATTAAAGGCATATGGTTTCAAAAAGGGCAGTGATGTTTTGTTGTGGTTATCCTTGCTTTGGGTACTTGTTGCACCATAAAGCATTCTTGGTCTACTTTAACTAAAAGTACTTTGGTTAAAGTTTGAAATTTTTTGCTCAAGTTTGTCCTGTAGTACCTTTTTTCTCCTTGACCAACACTAGTGTTCACATTGTGATCATTTTGTGTTTTAAACCTTTTTAATCAAAATTAAAATGGTTGGTTAGACTCATAAATGTGGACAACCATGCTGCTTGTTCCCCGTTGAGGAAGGGATGCAGTGCGATGATTGTAAAAAGTGGTACCATAAAATGTGTACACGCCTAAGTCCTATGGCATACAAAAGATGCTCGAAGCCTAATTCACATTGGCTTTGTATGTTCTGCTGTACAAATAAAAGGTTACTAATTCAGAGGGCTATGAGCCTATTGGTTTTGGCCTGAAAGAAAAACGATGGCCGTAGCGCTGGTTACACGAGGACTGACGGGGAAGAATGTGTCAGTGTAGTAAGTGCTGCTACCGGACCCGCTAAATACCCGACTGTGATTGACGGGAAAGTGAAATCTCCGTTGACATTAACGAGGAGTGAAGTGACGCTAGATACTGACATCAGCAATCATACACCTCTAGTCGAAATTGAAGACCCGGATAAGACTGTCACCGTTCCACATAGTCCAGGTGTGGGTGTTCTGACTGGTGACAAATGGACTTCGGTAAGAAGAAAAAAAATAAGAAGAAAAAGGCTGTAGGCGAAACGCAGCTGGTCAGTAAGACATTGGAAGGGATGTTATTAGAAGAAAAATCCTCACCGCGTGAAAAGACAGATATCTCTGAGAGATCAGCCATTTTTCATAAGATAAGAGAATTTTCAGATAAAGAACCGAAGGCGAGATTTGAACACGATCTCAATCATATTAAGACATCATTAAGTGAACTATTCCCAGATACAGTTTCAGGAGTTAGTATTTGTAAGCTTTATAGAATAGGAAAAAAGGCGGATTCCGAAAGTCCTCAGAAAAACTGCCTCCTAAAGGTTACATTCAACAGGGTGGAAGAAAGGAACCTGGTTCTAAGTAATTCACATAAACTGATTGGATCCGGAATATATGTCCGTGAGGACCTCAGCCTAGCTGATCGTATTAAGAGACGAGCTGCAGAAGCGGAAATAAATGAGCGTCGCCAAAACGGGGAAAGGAACCTTGTTCTTAAGGGTTTTCAAGTTGTAAAAGTTCGGAGCAAAACGATCCCCAAGCCACTCTGGGTGGCAAGGGAAAGCTCTTCACAGACTTAAAGGTATGCTATAAAAATGCTCGCAGCCTACTAAATAAAATGGCGGAGCTCAAGTCAGTGGTGGATAAAGAAAAACTGGACGTTATTGCTGTCTCGGAAACTTAGTTAATGTGAGAAGTATTAGATAGTGAAATCCAGTTGACTGGTTTCATAACCAGTAGGACTGATAGACCGAAAGTGAGGCGGGGTTATTCTATATACGAAAAGTACCTTAACCATAAGATTAGCTGGGACAGTAGCACATGTTTCAGGGACATGTGAACTGGTGAGATGTAAGTTGAAATGCCGAAGGCAAGATATTCAATTAGTTGTAGTATATCGCAGTCCAGAATGTGTAGCAGATGATTTTATCACAAGTAAACTTAGGTCCTGGTGTAACAACGGTAAAAGTCTTGTAGTAGGCGACTTTAATGCACCATATATAAACTGGGTTAACTTAGAGGTAGGGTCGTTGATATCGTCGTTCGACTGCAAACTGTTAGAAACCTCGATTGGATTAGCATTATTCCAACATATTAGAGATCCAGCAAGATACGACTTAAGAAACTCTTTTTCTCTTTTAAATTTAGTCTTCACACACGGTGATGACGTTGATCAAATGGCTTTTCTCCGACCACTTGGGAGAAGTGACCATGAAGTCATCTTATTAAAATTCATGGCTGAGATTGCCTGTTAGACAGTCGCGCCGGCCCGTCCTAACAAATGGGAGGCAGACATGGAAGCAATCAACTCCGTAGCATCGGCTGAAAATTGGGAAATCGACTCAAGAGCATCAGTACAAGAGGCATGGACTCTTTTCACGCAGTCATACAATCGGGTAACTCAACCATACATATCCTGGACAGTCCCAAAGAAGAAACAAGGCCATCCCTGGATAGGTCGGGATATTCGACGTTTATTAGGACAAAAGAAGAAATGTTGGGATGTTGCCGTCCGCCTTGGCACAGCAGGTACGATGGAACGCTACAGATCGATAAGAAACGAGTGTACAACAAAAATTCGGGAAGCTCAAAGAAAATATGAAATGCAATTGCCGCAATCTGCACTCAAGCAGCCCAAGATAATATTCTCGTACATAAACTACAGAACAAGGATGCATCACTGGATTCCCGACTTAATTAAAGAAGGAAGTCAATCTGAAATGATAGAGGAAGATCAGGAAAAAGCAGAGATTATGGCTAACTACTTTGGGGCAGTTTTCACTTAGGAACTTCCTCTAGAGAAAGAACCAGACCAAAGTAAACAGTCAACAAACCACCTGCTCAACATGCACCTCGATCAAGACGATGTGCTTAAGGCTCTTAGCACTTTAAGCATGGAAACGTCAACAGGACCAGATGAACTACACCCCAAAATCTTGAGACATATTCCACAATATATCGCGGTCCCACTGACTGTGATATGCAATATGTCACTTGGCCAATGTGTGTTACCTATGGACTGGAAGGACGCGATCGTCACTCCCATACACAAAACAGGTCCACGACAAGTTCCATCGAATTACGGACCTGTAAGGCTCACTAGTGTTGTAATCAAAATACTGGAAAAAATAATCAAACGGACCATAACGGCATTTATGGAAACCAATAACTTGCTAAACATTGAACAACATGGTTTTAGAAAGGGTATATCTTGTACAACGAACCTCCTTATAGCAAGGGAATGTTGGATAAATGTGCTAGACAAAGAAAACTCAGTGGATGTTGTGTACATAGATTTCAGTAGGGCTTTTGACAAGGTGCCACCTAATAGGCTGTTATTGAAGTTGGCAAACCTTGGTATTGCTGGACCTCTTTCTAAATGGATTAAGGATTTCGGACCTAACTTATTCTCTCTTTTTCTTCCCACTAGATCGAGACATCTCAGAGGACATAGCAGGCGAGTAGAAAAGCCGAGAACGAACAAAATACCAGCAGCATGCAGGTTGTCACACCGAGTCATCAATACTTGGAACCTGCTGCCCGAAGCAGTGGTATCCGCACCTTCAATTGACTCTTTCAAGAGAGGACCGGACACTCACAGAAGCATACTAGAAAAGGAATAACATAGGAAATAGGCCTTCTGTCCTTACTACACAAATCTGAATCTGAAATTTATTCGTTTCTCGGGGTGAGTGTGGATTCAGCTTAACTGATAAGTTAGCGAGAATTCAGTGTTGTTTTACGGACTCCGAAATCACTTTTCATTAATTAGATAGCTCTGTCTTAGATCCCGAAAACTGAAATATTAATTCAAAATATTTGTTTAACACAACTAACTACTGTTTTTCTGATGGTTGCTGCTTTGGTTTTTCAAGGCTTATGCTCTGTTATGCATTATCGCTAAAATGGTTTATTTGGAGATCGTAGCAAATGCCCTACTGTTACTTACATATTCAGTAGCTTGTTTCACAAGTCCATATACTAAAGTAAGCCAATTTGTTGCGTTCTAAACTGTAATTGGTATCAGCAAACGTTATTTAGCATTTTTCGTTGCTTCATTCTCTGTATATTTGTGAGAATAGTTTCACTTTTGCGTGTTTGACCTTAAAAAGGAAATAAAAAACTTTGAAGGTTATCCCCGTTTAATTTTTTGGAAGTCCCTTGGAGTGGAAATTCAGTGAACCGCACTGTTTACCAACTTTTCGAAAGAGAAACTTGCTGGCTGTATATAACACTCAGATACTTTCGATTTGTCAGCTGTTTCATCTCCAGGGTAATTTTAGTTCTTGAAAATTTAGTACCTTACCTGTTCTCCAGCAATAAGTATAGGAGGTCTATCGACCTATATTAATTCTTGCAGTTCGTAACACTGTGTAGGTCCAATCTCTTTTTGAATGTATCGACAAAAGCTGCTGATATTACACGTTCTGGTAGAGAATTCCAGTAATTCGCCACTCGGTGCGAGAAACGAAACTCCAAACGTAGACGATTTGATCTCGGTTTTTGAACTTTCATAGAATGTCCTCTAAAATGATCAATCCTAAACGCAAGGAAAAGATAATATATTAATACTAATGTCATCGTTTAGTATACGACAAGCCAATACTAGGTCACCCCGTAATATGTGGTAAGATAACGGAAATAGGTTGAGGTATCTTAGTCTGTCTTCATAAAATAGACCAGATTGACCTTTTACCATTTTAGTCCTTCGTCATGTGACTCGTTCCAGCATATGCGCCTTATACTTGAAACACGGACTCGCTGCTTGATTTCCACATTCTGAATTCAGCCTCACGAAAGTCGGGTATAATACCCTAAACATTTTTTCGTCTAAGTAATGAAATAACTTATGGATAGCCTTTAAAATCCTAAGGCTGTTGACAACGATAGCCTCACAGTTACTCTTCATTCTAAGGTCGTGGCTTATTATGACTTCTAAATTTTTAAAGTCCACTACTTTAGGTAACACTACTCCTCATATTGTGTAGTGATATAAATCTACACAATTATTTTTTTGCATCACTAGACTTGTTAAAATTTACTTCTAATGACCACCTGTTCATTCATGCAACCAATGAACTTAGGTCGTCTCGTAATATTCTTTCTGACATACTGTTTGTGGGTCTCTAAATCTTTATGTCATCGGCAAAGAGTAGGACAAATTACTTTGATACAATTGGTATGACATTTGTATAAGGTAAAAAAATAAGAGGGCCGAAAATTTCTACCTTGGACAGCTCCACTCTTCACATGTTGAGAGAGCTCTACTTGCCCTTACCCACTGTCTCCTATCACTAAGAAAGTTATTTATTCAGTTTATGATTTCATAAGGATCTCAAATCGTAGTTCTAATTTAAGACCCAGATGAGAGACTTCGTCAAAGGCTTTACTTAGATCCATGGGGATTATATTTACTAGTATATTGCTACCTTTTGCTGCAGCTCAATCTTTTCTTTTAATAAGCAGACTTGTCAACTATGGTAGGCCTCTCCTAAAACTGTGTTGTTCCCTGAATAGAATATCATGTCCCTCCACATAGTTTAAAGTGATCATCCGAACAATATTTTTGATTGGTTTGACAAATAGACTGGTTAGACTAACGGATTGGTAGTTACTGACTAAGTTTCTGCTCCACGCCTTATACGCTGGACTGATTATTGTACCTTTCTAGTCTCTTGGCAGTTTGGAATGCCTCAAAGATATACCAAACAGTATTGACAGAGGTCCAGCAATTACAGTCTCCAGAGCTTTCATAATCATCGGATGAATATCGTCAGGATCACTGGAATTATTAGGTTTGAGATGCTGAAGTAGTCTTAAGACAGTACCTTTCTCAATAACTAAAAGATCCATCATCAAGCCGCCACAATCACAGTCTATCGTTGGTCGTTCCTCATTGCTGATAGAAAACACTTAAAAGCTTTAGCTTTTTCGGCATCATGTCGCCAATATTAAGGGATTTTCTTCTATCAAAAGTAATGGGATTCCATCACTTCTCTGAGTTTGCCTTTTATCTGCAAGAATAATCGCTTCGCATTGTTTTTACAATCCCTAACCAATTGTTTTTCATATGAATGCCGAGTATTACTTATCAATGCTTTACAAACATTCCTGGTCTTGCAGTAACTGAATCTATACTGTTCTAAGTCAGCAGAGATGAATGCATCCCAATGCTTTTTCCTACGTCAAAGAAGTGTCTTGGCTTGTTTAGTTATCTATGGTGGACAGGTATTCGGTCTACGTGGTACTAGGGATGGTATAGACGAGGACATAAGTGAACTAAGCTTGCCTTTAAATAAATACCATGCTTCTTCAACTGATGAGCCTGTATCTACAGACCGATCCGCAGCGCACTCTTGAATGGCGAATATTTTAGCTCTCCATACATTTGGATGAGGATTAACCTGATCGTATATCATGTCGCTAGCCCTAAACATGAGTGACAAAACAACGTGATTGCTATTCGCTAACGGTAGAAGAATACTTAGATTGACAATATCCTCAGTCGCATGAGTGATTACCAAGTCTGACGAAGAAGAACCTTGGTTTGAACCAAAACGTGTGGGTTTGGATACACGCTGTACTAATGCACGTACGTACGTACATCAGTTCGAGTTGCTATACCACATTAGCACACAGATATAAGGTCACCTTGCGTTATATAATAAAGAACAAGGAATCAAGTCTTTTAATCGTTCATCTTAAGAGAGTTTGTAAGTGCCCGTGACTAACTTAGTTTCCACTTGTTGGACATGTTCGAGTGTAATAACATCATGAATGATATGTGAATTAGCTGCTTGGATGCAATATTCTAAGTGAGGTCTAACATAGGTGAACTATAAAATCCAGAACATATTTTCATCAAAGCATTTGAATGATCGACGAAATGACTATAGCACACTGAAACCTTTGGTAGTTACTGCATTGCAAGTGCAGTATACTGGTGAATACCGTCTTGTCCAGTGTGCATTAACACGCTCCTTTCAGAACTTGCCTTCAAACACCAATTTTGGAATCATCTAACGTCCTTCATATTTTTAATTTAAGACGGGTTCAAAGTCGTTTCCTGGACCATGGTGGAATGTTAACTGACATACATCCTATTGCCACGGATATAAGTTGTTGGGCAACCTCTGAATATAAGTCCCCTTGTACCCTCCAGTGTCCACGATAGTCTGTTTCCATAGATCAGTCTACCCTTTATAGATGCCTTTTTCGCAGTGTTGTGGTTGCAACAACAATCTGGAAATTAAAAATTACTCTACGTGACTCAAGGCTATAATTTTTTCTAGCCAGTTCTACATAGATTAGAAACATGATAAATTCAAAGCTTCGATTTTTGGAAATAAAAAACTGTTACCTTAGGAGCTGCATCTAAAACGTAGGATAGGGTTCCTGTTTTGTCCAAGTACTTTTGAGTCAACCCAGGTACATATAAAGACTGAGGGATTGCAAGCATTATTATTTGGCTTTCAGCAACTGGTTTTCCATATAGTCTTTGTCTTCTCATCTTCCTTAGTAAAACAGATCAAGTGTCAGACCATGATGTGACTTCAGTCCAGAAAGACACTATGGGACTAAGCCACCTTAGCAGACCCGGACCTAATGGTTGATATCCGCACAATAACCTCGATCAGTATTTAAAAACGTAAGTTGGGAAAACTCAAAATCTGCCACTATATTAATATAGTGACTTATACATATATCAGAATTCTAACCGACTGTTTGCTGAAAATACAGCTTCGAGTTTGAATATCTTCCTTTCCCAGCCGTGGCTGACTTCCAAAATTCTTCATAAAATTCTTGATATATTCCTTAAAATAAAAAGGAAGTAAACACATAGTTGATAATTTTCCATAAAAGACTTATCGGAAAGAACAAGATTATTGCTCGTTGGATCCATAACTGTTTGATGGACACGTACATGTATAGATCCTAAAGTAAATGTTTTCTTTGCTATAGTCACTTATTTTTAAGACCTGGATTTTTTGCCTAATGTATCACTTGCTAAAACTGTTTCAACTCTTGTAGTGGTGAAAGAATCAACCTCTTAATACCTTGGAACTTTTAATGATTGCATTTTCCGGATGAATTACCATTACTAGGCTACTTTGTGTTTGATCTGTGAAAATGCGTTTTATAGTAAATCAAGATTTGACGTTATCAGGTTAAGTGAAGTATTTATGATCACAAATGCTAGAGGATTTACCGTTGATTTCATACCATTATTTGATAAAAATTCATGGAGTCGAAGTTTTGATATTAATCTTATTAAGAGAGTGTGGTTAACTAAGTACTTACACCTGTTACCCCCAATAGATGAGCATAGGATTCCCACCAACACTCTCTGGGCGATCCTTTCCAGCTGCTATTCAACCTTATCATGTTTGCTTCCGATTCCTGATGCAGTGTGTTCTTTGGTCCTCCTATTTTCCATTTCCTTTCACGATTCCAAGTTAGCGCTTGCGTCGTGATACAGTTTGATGCTTTCCTCAATATGTGTCCTATCCACTTCAAATTTCTTTTCCTGATTTCCTCCCCAGCTGGAACCTGACTTGCTCTTTCCCATAGTAGGTTAATGTTGATGGTATCCAGTCAACAAACATTGAATATCTTGTGTTGACAACCGTTTATAAATACTTGTACCTTCTTGATGATGGTCGTGGTAGTTCTCCAAGTATCATCTACATACAGTAGAACTGTCTTGATAGTCGTTTTGAAATGCTCACTTTGATTATGGCTGACAGTTTTTTTGAGTTCCATATGTTCCTCAATTGTAGGAATGCTGTCCGTGCTTTGCTATTCCTTGCCTTTACGTCTGCATCAGATCCTCCACGTTCATCGATGATGCTACCCAGGTACGCGGAAGATTCCACATCATTCAGAGTTTCTCCATCAAGTGTGATTGTGTTGGTTGGTGTTCTGCATTTTGTATTTGAGGATCATAATTTTTCTTTGTGTATGTTGGAGCCTACTGATGCCGAGG